ATATGCATTGAATGGCCTTCGAACAGTCACTAAACTATTTTCTCAAATTTTTAAAATTAAATTTTAATTCTTGACATATCAAACTGCTTTTATTGTTCAAAAATAATTGTTTTTAAATATCTTTTATAAATAATTGAAGAGTAATAAAAAAAAATTATTTTTATTCAATAGTAATTTGTTTAATGGTCTTCAATATGCATCGAATGGCTATCGAACAAACACAAACCTATTTTCTCCAATTTCTAAAATTAAATTGTAATTCTTCACATATCAAACTGCTTTTATTGTTTAAAAATTATTGTTTATAAATATCTTTTATAAATAATTGAAGAGTAATAAAAAAAATTATTTTTATTGAATATTAAGTCGTTCGATGGTCTTCATCACGTATAAAACACCCTTCAAACACTCTCCAATGTATTTTCTACAATTTCTAAAATTAAATTGTAATTCTTCACATATTTAACAGCTTTTATTGTTCAAAAATAATTGTTTATAAATATCTTTTATAAATAATTGAAGAGTAATAAAAAAAAATATTTTTATTGAATATTAAGTCGTTCAATGGTCTTCAATATGCATCAAATGGCCTTTGAACAGTCAATAAACTTTTTTCTCCAATTCCTAAAATTAAATTGTAATTCTTTACATATTCAACAGCTTTTATTGTTCAAAAATAATTGTTTATAAATATCTTTTATAAATCATTAAAAAGTAATAAAAAAAATTATTTTTATTGAATATTAAGTCGTTCAATGGTCTTCGATACGTATAAATCACCCTTCGAACACTCTCCAATGTATTTTCTTCAATTTCTAAAATTAAATTGTAATTCTTCACATATTTAACTGCTTTTATTGTTTAAAAATTATTGTTTATAAATATCTTTTATAAATAATTGAAGAGTAATAAAAAAAAATTATTTTTATTAAATATTAAGTCGTTCGATGGTCTTGATTACGTATAAAACACCTTTCAAACACTCTCCAATGTATTTTCTACAATTTCTAAAATTAAATTGTAATTCTTCACATATTCAACAGCTTTTATTGTTCAAAAATAATTGTTTATAAATATCTTTTATAAATAATTAAAGAGTGATAAAAAAATTATTTTTATTGAATATTAAGTCGTTCAATGGTCTTCGATACGTATAAATCACCCTTCGAACACTCTCCAATGTATTTTCTTCAATTTCTAAAATTAAATTGTAATTCTTCACATTTTTAACTGCTTTTATTGTTTAAAAATTATTGTTTATAAATATCTTTTATAAATAATTGAAGAGTAATAAAAAAAAATTATTTTTATTGAATATTAAGTCGTTCGATGGTCTTCATCACGTATAAAACACCCTTCAAACAATCTCCAATGTATTTTCTACAATTTCTAAAATTAAATTGTAATTCTTCACATATTCAACAGCTTTTATTGTTCAAAAATAATTGTTTATAAATATCTTTTATAAATAATTAAAGAGTGATAAAAAAATTATTTTTATTGAATATTAAGTCGTTCAATAGTCTTCATTACGTATAAAACACCCTTCAAACACTCTCCAATGTATTTTCTACAATTTCTAAAATTAAATTGTAATTCTTCACATATTCAACAGCTTTTATTGTTCAAAAATAATTGTTTATAAATATCTTTTATAAATAATTGAAGAGTAATAAAAAAAAATTATTTTTATTGAATATTCAGTCGTTCGATGGTCTTCATCACGTATAAAACACCCTTCAAACAATCTCCAATGTATTTTCTACAATTTCTAAAATTAAATTGTAATTCTTTTCATATTCAACAGCTTTTATTGTTCAAAAATAATTGTTTACAAAAATCTTTTATAAATAATTGAAGAGTAATAAAAAAATATTATTTTTATTGAATATTAAGTCGTTCGATGGTCTTCAATATCCATCGAATGGCTTTCGAACAGTCACAAAACTATTTTCTCCAATTCTTAACATTAAATTGTAATTCTTCACAATTTCACCTGCTTTTATTGTTCAAAAATAATTGTTTATAAATATCTTTTATAAATAATTGAAGATTAATAAAAAAAATTATTTTTATTGAATATTAAGTCGTTCGATGGTCTTGAATATGCATCAAAGAGCCTTCGAACAGTCCTAAACGATTTTCTCCAATTTCTAAAATTGAATTTTAATTCTTTACAGTTTTATCTGCTTTTGTTGTTCAAAAATAATTGTTTATAAATATCTTTTATAAATACTTGAAGAGTAATAAAAAAAAAATATTTTTATTGAATTTTAAGTCGTTCGATGGTCTTTGATACGTATAGAACACCCTTCGAACACTCTCCAATGTATTTTCTACAATTTCTAAAATTGAATTTTAATTCTTCACAATTTCACCTGCTTTTACACTGAGAAAAAAGAGGGCGCGTTACAGCACATTTTCGATTCATGTTGCGCGACTCAACCCTGAATTCTTCTACACACTTTCTGGGGCGTGCAGCACGCCCCAAAGAGCGTGTAATACGCTTCAAATACAGCTCGCCTCGACTCAGGGGTCCGCTGCACGCCCCAGAAAAGTGTCTAGCAGAACACAGGTTGAGTCGCGCAACATGAATCGAAAATGTGCTGCAACGCGCCCTCTTTTTTCTCAGTGTATTGTTCAAAAATAATTGTTTATAAATATCTTTTATAAATAATTGAAGAGTAATAAAAAAAAAATATTTTTATTGTATATTAAGTCGTTCAATGGTTGTTTGGTTTCTCAAAATTTAAACTAAAATTGCTTTATGCCTTTTTGTATGATACATATATATTACAATAGTTACACACTTTCTACAAATTCCAAGAGAAAAAGGAAACATCTGCAAATCATAAAATTGTAATGATTTAAAAACTATATTACCTATGTACAAAAGTTTTGAAAAACATGTTATCTTAGGATTTTATACCTTCTTTACTTAAGCTGCTAAAACCCATTAAAGGCACGTAAACTTAAGATAAAAATCAACCTAATAAAAAGATTAACCACTCGAGACCCAGGTAATAACTGCAGGGTTTCGCATCCCCAAATGAAACTCGCCATTTTTACCTTTGTGGGTTTTTCCAAAATTTTCGGGTTGTTTCGGTACACATCGGAACTCTTGTAATTCCAATCTAGGTATATACCTCAACTTGCCTTCAGCAAAATATGAAAGACACTTACTTACTTTTCGACAATTGACTTGTACGGTTCGTGCACAAGTCTTCACAAAATGTATCACATAAACCTTTTAGTTAATTTTATTGTATAAATTACAGTATGCATTTTATTAAATAAATACAGTTGTTCAGTAATTTAACTTACTTTCAAGTCTTTTATTGAATTACAACCTTAATTCAATTTTAAAAACAACTACACACAACATGTTGGTCCTTCGAGCCGGATTTCTTACAGTGAAAAGTGAACTTGTGAATAATTGTTCCGGAAACTGCAAGATATTTCGTTGAAAATTATATCAATAATACTTCAAATGAAGTTATACATATATATGTATATAAGTTCACTAGTGATTTCAAAATTAGTGATCGAATAAGTGTTTAATGATTTCAAAATCTTGCACAAATACAAGTAAATACCAAGCTGTTTTAGTAATTCCAAAACTAAAATTCTGCAAATTAAAATAGACTTTCATATGAACACATGTTCCTTGTGAAATTGCAAGTATTTGAACATTAAAATTATAATGTTCAAATTGAGTACATATGAACTGTGACTTTTAAATAACTAATCAGTTATTCAGTGACAAAATTAAAGGAGTTTTTGATACCTTTAAACAACTGAAAATTTTTAGTGAACTTTTAATGACAATTAGTGAGTGGAACCCTGAACGTTTTTACGGTTTCTATAGGGACATTTAAAAAAGACAATTTCATAAGAATTACAATTTCTTGAAAATTGATTAACAAATTTTCATCGAAGAAACCAGCAGGATTCCAAGAGGAGGTGAACTTCACTACATCAGGTCATGAATCTTCAAATCAATTCCAATTGAAGAAATATTTCATTATCATCAATCGGCTGACTTCGAAGTAGTAGGGGAGTTTGCTGCGAGTTGGACATAGTTTTGTTTTTCGGTTATAACTTTTCACTAAATTAAGCTATCGACATGTTTAAAGTCTTGTTTAAAAGCCAGAGAGATTACCTATACTTCTGTAAAAGCGGCAATTTAATTTTTGAAAAAACTTTCAAAATGTAGCCAATTTTCTAAAAAGATGATTTTTGGACTTTTTTTTTTCTTTGCTGCAAGTTGGAAACCCTCACAAAATCCACTCAAAAAGCATAAAAATTAAATAAAACCTCTAGTAATAAAAAGTGTATGCAAAATTTGTATTTTATAAAATATATTGTATTTTACATATTATAAACTATAAATTTCGAATCAAATATTTTGCAATGTTTACAAACATAAAATAGGTTAAACTTGAAAACAAAAGAAATCTCCAGCATATAAATCATGACCAACTCGCAGCGAAAAGGTGTGTCCAACTCGCAGAATTAACAGGATTTTTTTAGACCACAAAAAATAGTTTTGGCAACAATATATGGAGCTAATTCTTTTTGCATCCTAAAGAGCATGAAAATTAATCCAAAAATACATGTACGAAATTTTTATGAACAATGAATAGTAGTCTTTTTATTAACACTTAAAAGACGTCGTTTCCACTTCTCAAAAAAATTCTTACACTAAAAAAATGTTTTTTTTATAAGAATCTTAAATAATGCAAGTATTTTTTTCAAAACAAATATAAATATATCTTATCAATAAGGCAAACATTTTACAATTTTAATTCTGGGATAAACTTTATGTATTCTCGAAATATCAAGGGGTGTCCAACTCGCAGTAGTGACCAACTCGCAGCAAACTCCCCTAAGTCTAGTGGTTGACCAATATTCCTAATCCTTTTTTACATTTTCATATGTTATCTCTATATGTCAAGTGTTAATGTTCTGAATTAAGAGTGAGATATAAATTTTCAATTATGGCGTTGACTCTTGAACAATTAAAAATTAAACGCGGTAGTATAAAAGCATCGGTGACGAAATTTGAAACTGCGTTGAGAAAAATAAACGATGATACTGATTTATTTTCATTAGATTTAGAAGGTCGCTTGAGCAGACATAACCCCTTATGGAAAGAATTTGATAATATTCAAAAACAAATAGAAGAGTTATTACCTGGTGAGGAAAACAAGCAAATTCATGAAACAGAACAATCTTCCTCGCGTACAAATTCAGTTCAAAATTTAGAATCCCATGAAATACCAACTCAAAGACGGACGCACTTCCCTTCTCATTTCCAACTGCTAAAAATTGAGACACCTGTTTTTCATGGTACATTTGACACATGGCTTGCATTTTATGATTCTTTTAAGTCGATGTGCCATGATAATCAGGATATTCCAAATATCAGTAAATTTATGTATTTAAGAGCATGTTTGAGAGATGAAGCATCCGAAGTCATTGCGTCGCTAGAAACAACTGCTGATAATTATTTGATTGCTTGGGAACTTTTAAAGAATCGTTATGATAATCGCAAGTTCATTGTAGAAAATCATATCAAAACTTTATTTGAACTTCCCGCACTTTCAAAGGAATTTACAGCACGCACATTGCTTGATAATTTACAAAAACATCTTAGAGCATTAAAGGCATTAAATCAACCTGTTAAACAATAGGACAGTTTAATTGTTTATTTAATCAAACTAAAGTTCAATAATTATATACGCGAAAGATGGGAAGAAGCCACGGGAACGACTCAACTTCCCACGGTTAAAGATTTAATTTCGTTTTTAGAAAAAAGATCAGTTATTGAGGCCAATCATTCCACATTCAAATCTGTTAATTCTTCGAAGACTAATTCCAAACACTCGTCTAACATTCGATCTAATTCAAAACCACCATCAACATGTTTATCAACTACAGTTTCAAATATGGAAAACTGTAAAGTATCGTGTTCTCTTTGTTCACAAAAACATCCTTTGTATTCATGTGCTCAATTTCTAAACATGTCTACCCAAGAACGTTATGATTTTGTTAAAAAGGCTGCAATTTGTCATAATTGTTTTTTACAAAATCATCGCACAATCGACTGTCGAAAACAGCCGTGTCAAAAATGTAAAAAAAGACATAATACACTTTTACACTTTGAACCCAAAATTCAAACAGAAACAAATTCTAACACCTGTGACAGCCCTGATCGCGAGATTAATTTTCTATTGATAAATCTGAATTAGATTCTACTTTAATAGTATGGGTTCGACTCGCGACGGAAAGCACAATGTACACTAACTTACTTCTCCGATAAAAAAATCCTCCGGGTACGACTACAGCATTTGCAGAGAGCGAGAGAAAGAACGTGTTGAAAGTACTATAGAGCAATGGCCATGTAGAAAGATGGACTTACCGGTGATGCTGGCTCTCTGCGACGAACAATAAATATCCAATAGTAGGAAATAAGAAGGACACTATGAAATAACTCACTACTTTCGCGAGGTTTATTTAATTTGAGAATTCAATTATTTATTCAATAAGAACCAACAGTAGACTAACAAATTACAAAGTAATAGTGAGTTCGCGAATGATACACTATTCGTGTGCCTTCAGGCGATGCTCGCAACAATCTGCCGGCTCGGCGTCTTTTTGCCTAGCACAAGGTTTTGTCGTCTGCTCTCTCGACTATGGGAAGTATCGCATCGATTCGTGCGTCGCGGTATCAATAATCGATAGTTAATAATCGAACATCGAAGACTGACATTTGAATTGTGAATGCAAAGTTACTGCGAATCCATTTCTAAAAAAATAAAAAGAAGATTAGTACTTGTTAACGTTCGTTCTCTTTTAAGAAAGTAAATCACTAATTTATCGAATTATAATGTTTTATTTAGCAAAATAGTAGAACATATAAATGTAACAAAACGTGTGTGAATTTTTTGAATTCTGGTTACATTAAACGCGAAAATGGAAGAAAATCTTATAAACTAAAATGCTATGTGATAGGTTTCTTTTTTTTTTTTTTAATTTAACGCGAAATACAAGATTTGAGAATTGGTATGTTATAAATAAACACTTAGTCTTAATCACAGCATATAATGTCCTTGTAAGGCACTAAAAAGTCTTTAAGCGATGTTATATTTTTTTTTGTTATTCGCGAACATTTTCAAGTCACTCTTTTTCTTTTTCGATGCCTAACTCATAAGCCTGAGATAGCGTCTTCCACAGTTCAATGTTATTGTCTTCCGAGTCGAATGGTGCGAGGACTTTGCAAATATCTCTAGGCTCATTTCCGGTGTCATTCTCTGAAGGTGGAGATGCTGGGGGTTGTTTTCGCGAGTTTGAACTTGCAAGTTCGCAAGCATTTTTGTCATCTCGAGAAATTGTTTTTCGCGAAGATTTCTGCTTTTGGGGCGGAGTTTGCGATGTAGTCTCTGCTCGTGGTGAAGATTCGTTTAAAGGCTCTTCAAGCTTGAGTTGGGAGACCAACTTGGGAATTGCGCCCTTCTCTTGCACGGGTAACGGTTTCGAGGTGATTTGTAGACTGCTTGTTTGCTTTATGACTTCAAGCATTTGCTGGTCGCGCTTCGCGATTCTGCGTTCCATTTCTCGTTTGCGACATTCACCGCAGTTAACGCCTGGTAGATTCTTTGGTCGTTTACAAGTCTTACAGCGTTGGTGATCTGGAATGTCGAATTTTCCTTCTGCAACATGTGGCCATGGGCATTCGTCGGTGCTAAAATCTGGGTTCGCGCACTTTTGACAGAAGCGTCCAGTGTACTCGCTTCGGCAGAATTTGAAGCTGTGTCCTGGCATACTGCAGTTGAGGCAGCCATCGGTAGCCTTGGGCCTTATTCGTATTTCGCGAAGTTCCGCTTGCATTTTAAAAACTTCGGAAATTTTATGCCGGAAGAGATTGCGGGTACGGAGTTGAAGCTTTTCCATATAGTTGTAATCGGCCAAAAGCGCGTTATAATCTGTTTCGTAGCTATCAACGATCTTCTTTAGTTTTGCGGCTTCAGCCTTGAAGTGGGCGGCTTCATCTTTGTGGTGGGCGACTTTATCTTCGTGCTGGGCGGCTTCATTTTCGTGTTTCGCAAGTTGCTCAGCGAGATTTTGCTTCTCGAGGAGTAGATCGGTAAGCAGCTTGTAGTGCGCTGCCATGTTTGGAACGCCGCTGTTGTTGGGTTTCTCGTTGATTGCAGAAATTTCTTCGCGAAGTGTGGCGATGATTTGGTTGGCTTCCACTAACTGGTTAGATAGCTCTTTACGTGAGTTAACTAAGTAGTCGAAGTTGTCTTTGTTCAACGCGATTAGACCAGTTGGCTGTTGATCGAACCCCAGTTGATTTCCATCTTCAGAGACCGTGGAAATCTGAGTCGATAAGATCTCGAAGGAGCTTGGTGAGTTGTCGATGTCGTTGCTGTTTGTTAAATCCATAACGAATCTGAAAAGAGATTTAGAAATTGTTTTGCGATCGAAGGCCCTTTTTTGCTGGTTTTAAATCGTTGACATGGTATTTGCCATTTCTTTTCTTTTGCAAATCGCTGATGACTACCACCATAGGAGATAATTTTTCTGTTATGGTAGCTGGGCCTTTATATCGAGGCGCTAATTTTAAACTGTAACCCCCAATTGCTTTGGATAATTTATTATTTGGGTAGAACACTAGATTGCCAATTTCAAAATGTAAATCATTTTTGCGGTTTTTGTTATAAACTTTCCTTTGTCTCTCACATGCTTTAGTCATTAACTTTTGAACTTTTTCACGAAGGTCATCTATGCGTTTTATCCGTTCTAACCAGTCATTGGTTGTATTGTCGATTGTCATTTTCGCGTTAGTTTCGAGTTTTTGTTCTCCCGTGCGTCTTGGTTCGCGTGCGAAGTTTAAGAAAGCAGGGGTTACACCTAAAGAGGAATGGACGGTAGTGTTGTAAGCGAATTGTATTTCTTCTAACAACAAATCCCATTCGCGTTGATCTTCGCCAAGAAGACTGGCGATCATCGTTTTTAGATTTCGATTTACGCGTTCGACGGGGTTTGATAATGGGTGGTAGACCGGAGTCGTGCGTTGGTCAGAACCAATTTCGTTTAAGAATTTTGTAATATTGCGATTAACGAATTCAGTTCCATTGTCTGTGACAAAAGTTCTGGGTATTCCCCCTTTGCTAATTAAAGTGTTTAATGACTTAACAATTTTTGGACTGTCGGCTTTTGACAGGGCGAAACATTCGATATACCGTGTGTAAATATCTTCGCAAACTAAAATGAAGGATTTTCCTGATTTAGATCGCGGAAGTGGTCCTACAATATCTACAGAAACATTGTCCCATGGTTCATTGAACTTACGCGGATACATAAGTCCTTAAGGGGAGGTTCTCATTGCAGAGGCCAAAATAAACACAAACTTTGACAATTTTTTGCAAAGAACGGCTATGACTTAGCGATTTAGTTTTTTTTCTAAATAAAGATACATTCTTGAACTTTTACAACATATATTTCATTTTCAAAAAAATGCAAAATGGCGGCCAATATGGCGCATCTAGAAAATAATGTTTTTTTAAATAAGGAAAACGGTGGGCATTCTACACTGCGCAATTTTTAGTCTAAAACAGAAACTCAAAATTTTTTATAAAGATGACATCCTAAAGAATAGGTTATACCTATAAAATAGTTAAAAAGTTAACAAAATGACAAAATGGCGGACACATTTTTAAAAAAACTGCGTTTTTGCATTATTTTTCCATATTTGACCTCTTGTAAAAATCTGTATTGTTAACAATTTTATCATATTATAGGTATAACCCCTGTAGAATTTAGTTACCTTTAATAAACCACAAACCCGAAGTTGATTGATTAAATAGTTTAGACGCTACGATGCCCACCAGTTTAAAAAATCTTGTTTCGAGAAAAACGCGTTTAGCTTGAAAAACATTTTGTGCAATAATTGTATTCTTTGCAATTCTTTGTTCAATTTGCGTATATGATAAATATCTATAGGTATTTAGGGTCTCTCTTTACGATTCTGAGGTCAGATTTGCAAAATTTTTAAAAATTGATGTGATTTGCCTGACATTTGTTACTTAGTGCTCGGGACGTCGGTTAGTTCAAGACTCTATAAAATCGAAAATATTCTTCGGATCAAAAAATCGGTATACACACATATTCTACATATATATAGCTTTCAAAAAATACAATAAAAAAGAAATCAATTTTTTTGACTCCCGCGATGGGAACCTCCCCTTAAGGAGGTTTGTTTTTAGGTTTGCATTTTAAACAAATTTCACATTCGTCGATATATCTTTTGATATCTTCGCGCATACCGGGCCAATAGTGGTGATTAATAATTGACAAGTAAGTTTTATTAATTCCTTTATGTGCGGATTGTGGGGTGTCATGATATTTATAAATAGTCTGGAGTATTTCACTTTCTTTTAACACTTTCTTCCATGCGTTGTTATCGCCTATGGTTTCTTTGAGTTGGTTTGGTTTGTAATAGTACAGTTCGCTGTTCGAGTCGAGTCTGTATCGTTCGTAACGAGTGGGGGTATTACGCACACGTGCAACCATCTCGTCGTACCAAGATACACTGTGGGTGTGACTTAGCTGTGAGGAGGGCGTGTCTTCCGAGACGTTCTCGTAAAGGCGCGATAGAGTGTCAGCTGCTTCGTTGGTTGTACCTTTG